AGTTGAGTGAGTGCCTCCTTGAAAGATTTTAGGTTTTATTCTATCAATTCCTGATGAGTTGTTCTTTGTCAATTCCTTTTATGTACCTTGGACTTCTTCCTTTAGTATTATTGGCTCTTGATCATATGCTGCCTCTTGAAATGGTTGAACATTAACCATTTGCTTTTGGTACAGTGACTCTGTGTATTCCTTCCATCTTCTCTTGACGCTTCCTGCATCATTCAATAATTTGCCCAGAGAATCCTTCAATAACAAAAGTTGAGGCTTGAATTTTTTCTTCAGTTCCCTAGCTTGACAAATGCTGAGCGTTTTCTTCACTTTTGGTTTTCTGACCCAGATCTTTACACATTTCGTTGTAATATTTGACTTTGTCTTCTGGAGCTGACCTTTGAAATTTTCTGTTGGGCTCTTGTACCCCCTCATTTCTTCCATTTGCTTTAGCATCTCCACACTGGAGAGCAAGTTTCAGCGTCTCTTCTGACATCTGTTTTGATCTTTTCCTTCTTTCTTGTCTTCTTAATGACTTTTTGCTTTCTTCCTGTATGACGTTCTTGATGTCTTCCCACAACTCTTCTGGTCATTGGTCTTTAGTGTTTAATGTATCAAATTGGTTCTTCAGATGATCTCTAAATTCACGTGGGATATATTCAAGGTCATATTGTGGCTCTCATGGACTTGTTTTCATTTTCTTAGGGTGGATGCCGTAAGGTTTTTCAACAAAAATTTCATGGGGCATCCCTTGCCCCACCCTTTCAAAGTGAGCAGGTTCATTGTCATGATGAAAAGACTTCTGGGAATAACTTTCCTGGCCTTTTTCTCACCAATACAATTTTGTTTTCTTAGGATATTTTCCTAATAAGCTTCCATGATTGCTCTGTGTATTTTGAGAAAATCTATCAAGACGACCCCTTGGTAATTCCTGTAACAGTTTTACTGTAACCTTCTGAACTGGCTTATCTGCCTTGAATTGTTCCAACAGAAGCCCTTGGAAGCCACTATTCTCCTTGGACCTTTTTTGAAGGCTCCCTAATGAGATCAAGTGTATTTCTAAGAAAACGTGTCTCCAACCATACACCGATCACAGAAACATGTTTAAATGTAAACCCATGCATGTAGGAACGGGGACCCCCGGTAGCAATACTTTTGGATTATTCTCATATATTTGATTTTCTTAGGGACACAGTAAAAAAATTCCTGTCAGAGGCCAGACTTGTCTCTCATCTTTTCTGTTTTGGGGTAGCAGAAACCTTAAAACTCACAGTGAAAGTGATAGCAATTAATTGGAGAATTTCGTTCTGGCCATCTTGACTTGGACAGCTGGTTACTTGGGAAAATGTGTACTTTGGAGCCGAGCTTTGTACTGGAAGATTGAGTTCTTGGTTTGGGGCACTTAAGATGCATTGAGTAAAGTTGGACATTGCTCAAGAGTGTACAAACCCAAACCAAGTATATGAGTTGATTCCATGTAACAGCGACCTTATATAGGGTTTCTAAGACTTCAGATCTTTACGGGAGCAAATAACCTAACCTTTCTCCTGTGAAGCAGCTGGTGAGTTTGAACTGAACACTGTGGAGTTAGCAGTCCAATGCTTCTACAGTGCCACCAGAGTACTATACAGAGAACAAATTCACAGTCTCCTTTGTATTGTTGTTTTAGTTGTGAAGTGCTGTTGAGTCGGTTCTGACCCATAGCAACCCTTTATAGCATTTCCAAGGAGTGGCTGGTGAGCTCGAACCACCGACTTTGTAATCCAGCACATTAACCTGTAGCGCCACACCAAGACTCTAATTACTGTAAGTTGGTATTGCTACGTTGGTAGGACATGTAGGATATATACTCTTTCCTTTACTTCCATCCCATTTTTTAAAAGCTTTTAGCACGTTTTGAAAGCATGTTGTTGTTTAGTGCAGTCAATGTGGTTTCAACTCACAGTGACCCTGTATAGGGTTTCTGAGACTTTAAATCTTATCAGGAGCTGAAAGCGTCATCTTTCTCCCATGGTATGGCTGGCGGGCTCGAACTACAGACCTTGTGGTTCACAGTCTAGTGCTTATTGTATGGCGCCCCTGCGCTGGACTGCCCTTATAAGAATTGAAAGTGTTCCAATGGACACATTAGATCTTTAAGTGGATTTGCTTGCCTAGAAGGAGGAGCAAGAGCCACTACATTCGTTGCAAATATATTTTTCATTGTGGCAACTTTGAGCAGTTTTTCGTGACTTCCTGGATACATACATGTGTCAAAAAGTATGTAAACATGAGGCACATTTTAGTTACATTCTGAAAGGAAATAAAACAAGGGGAAGAATGTAACTATCCAAAGTGAATAGTTCTTCCCGTGTGCCTATGCAGTGGAGACTCCATGAATTGGGCAGATTCGGGCATAACTCAGGAGAAGGTCGCTTGGATGCCCAGTGATGAGTTGGGTTCTTGGGAGCCACCATTTGTTCCTGAGCACCATTTGTAACTGAGCCCAGCAGAATGTTCCTGAACTGACAGACTTGAGTACAGGATCCACCTGTGTACTTTGGCCTCCTCTCCTCATGTTCGACATTATCCTTGCCATCACTGCTCTGAGTGGTGGATTGTAGTCCTCAGCTTTTATTTTTAGAGGACTTTTGCTATTACACATAGTTACTTATTGAGAAAGAATCGAAAAGTGGAACAAGCAGGTGTAGTTTTCAGCCAGATGGTCGGTTTCATCTTGTGAGAGACAGTATAAAAGTTCCTAGCTAACCCCGTATAAATAGCTTATTTCCTAAATGGAAGCTACAAATTCTCTGCCCTAGATTAAATGTCATAACACATTGTAAGACAAGGCAACTGGGAAATCCAGACATTAGATCGGAAGTACTGAAGCTGCTTACCTGCTTCATGTGAGGCCCAGTCACTCCAGCTAATGCACCTGTGATTTTTGGGGAGAGCAAGCCACCAAGAACACAGGGACTGGCCACTCAAGGTTCCTTCCTTAGGGAAGTGTGGCAGGGCCTGTGCCGTACCCCTCAGGATGACCCAGGGAGCAGAGAGAATACTTGGGGATTTGTGATGGGTGATGCCAGTAGATCTGTTGCTGAAAATAAAAATGAGCATTACTATTTTGGTCTTGAACGTAATCTTTAAACAAACATCTCATTTTCCTTCCTTCTTCTTGTTGTCTTTTCCATATTTTGGCAGTTGCCTTCTGGGTTTGTGGGGGTGGGACAGAGGCATAAGTGAATGCCACAGAATTTCTCAAGGTGGACCTCAGCTATTCGTCTCACTTGTTCTCCATCCCTCCCTTTCCTGGATGCATCTTTTTTGTTATTGTCACCATCACTGTTTTTAGAGTTACAAAGAGAATGTCAGAGTGACCACGGAGCTTTTCAATTATTGTAGTTCTGAGGTTGTTTTGAAACCAGAAGTTGTACTGGTATAGATTATGGGTCTGGAGAAGGTGTGCTGCAGAGATGTTTATGCAGTTCCAGTTAAGAGAAGGCAGAAGGGCCCGATTTCCTGTGCTCATTCATGTAAGAAAGTTATGGAACTAATGGAAACAGCAGGCTTTTTTTTTTTTTTTTGATCTATTGGTGAAGGAAAGGAGCTCTGGTAGAATAGTGGTTACGAATCAGGCTGCTAACCTCAAGGTTGGCAGTTTGAAACTACCAGCGGTTCCGTGGGCGAAAGATGAAGCTTTCTGCTCCTGTAAAGATTTATAGCCTCAGAAACCCTGTGCCAGGGTCTCTATGGGTTGGAATTGACTCCACAGTACTTAACAACAATTGGAGAAGGAATGGTAATAAAGGAGTTAATTTATCTCCCAAGCTGAAAACAGGTAAGTGATACTCACTCAAACATGGGATTCAAATGAGCCATCTCAGAGCTGAAGGGGGGAAATCTCACTGCCATCAAAGAAGAGCCAGGAGTGGAGTGTGTCTATTGGACCCCGAGATCCCTGTGCATTGAACCTCCTCAACCCCGGGACAGAAAGCTGCGATAGCAGAGAAGTGGCAGAGGAGTAGCAGCAGCAGACCCAAGGACCAAGCACAAGACAGAGCAGTGGGCTTCCCAGTCCACGGAGCTAGTAAAGCTGAGTGACTCTGGGCAGCAAGCTTGCTTGTAGAGTGAGGTGCCTCCAGGCATTAAGGGAGGGGCTAGGTGTACTGACTCCTGGAGCTAGAGTCGAAGCCTTTAGGCTGAGGCTTGTGGAGTGGTGTGTCCTGTGGGCGTTTTTCAGCAACTGACTGGGACAACAGTGCCCTGAGCGTTTTCTGATCCTGTAGACGTTTCTCTTTTTGTGCCTAATCTGCTGGAATGTCCAGTTCTGTATGAAAGTACATGGTAGCGTCTCTGAGTTCCTCCTCCTTGTGAAATCAGAGCTTTCTGAAGCTGGATAGCATCAAAGAGTTCATTTATGGGGATAAATCTGTGTCTGTTGAGAGGACAGATGATTCTTGCCCAGTCTTCTACTTCCTGTTGAATGTTCTTGCCATTGCTGCATATATGTATCTCTGTTTTGGCGACTCATTTCTACCTATTTGTTAAAGTGCTGTTGAGGTGATTCTGACTCTTCACAACCCTGTACAGGGTTTCCTAGGAGCAGTTGGTAGGTTTGAATCACCTACCTTTTGGATCACAGTCCAGTGCTTATCCTACAGTGCCCTTTTCTACTTATGTCGTTGTGGGTGCTAAGTGGTGTCAAATCAAGTCAGTTTCAACTCATAGCAATCCTGAATAGGGTTTCCAAGGAGTGGCTGGTGGCTTTGAAACACCCTCCTTGCTTTTCTAACTGACTTTGCAGTCTAGTGCGGTACCTGCAGCGCCACACCAGGACTCATTTCCACTTGTTGTTGTTAAGTGTTGTTGGGTTGGTTCTGACATAGTGATTATCACAGAGAGAATGTTAAATAAATAAGACTTGTCAGCAATTTTAGTATTTGATGGGAGTTTGGTTTTCTTTCTTTTTGAAATGTATCTTAAAGAATGCACTACCTTTGTTTAATGTGAATGTCTTTCTGTTTTAGGTCAAATCTGAACATCAATGATGTCCTGGGGAACTACTCCTTGACGCTTGTTGATGCGTTGGACACACTTGCAGTAAGTATTTAGTCTGGTTTTTCTTTTGTCTTCTTAGTAAAGTAGAATGTTTGGGAGTTGATTACCAGTGGATTCCCTCAGAGATACAAATTCTGCAGAACCTAGGACTCAGAACGTATTGAAAGCTATTATTTATGTTAATTACCTTAATGGTGACAGAAAGAAAAGCATCAGCAGTTAAGTTAGGGGAATTGTCCTAAGAAACGGAGAAGCAGTTATCTTTCTTTTTCTCCTAGTTTTCCATTGTTTGACTTTCTACAGGGGTCCTTAGAGACTTTCCTTAACCTTACAGTGTCAGCAGTTAAGATTTCACATGGCAGAAGGTATCCTGAAGGACGATGGCCTTGCTGGTTCCCAGGAGTGGGGCTGAGCCCTGGACACTCCTGAGTATCCTCCCTCCTCTTTTACTTGCGCCTTCACATTTTGCAGAAAACGACCCAAACCTTACATACCTGGGCTGTGGCTTAGGTGTGGCCTCTGCCTCCTCTCAGTGACCAATGCCTTAGGGGAACTGGAGAACTTTAGACAGCTAAGCAGAAACATACATGATTTTATATTATCCAGACTGTCTGAGTGCTTGATGGGTGTCGTCACCAAGTGCTGTTGAGTGGGGCTTCCAAAAGACCCAACATTTTTGTAAATCTCCTTGGTAAAGGTGATTTCACAACCTCTGTGTTCTCCTTTCTCATTAGAAAGTTCTTCCTGCAGTCTACCCTAAATCCTACACACTGGACTGCTAGTCACACGGTCAACAGTTTGAATCCACCAACTGCTCCACAAGAGAACGATGAGGCTTTCTGCTCCTATAAAAATTTATAGCTTTAGAAACTCCATAGCTATGAATACCAGAACTCACTTAATGACTTGCAGAAGCAATTAGGGGTTAGGATGGGTAGTGTTAGCTGAGTTTGCAGTACAATTGTGTTTTGCTGTGGTAAGGAATCAGGCTGCTAACTTCAAGGTCAGTGGTTCAATACTACCTACCAGTTGTTTTGCGGGAGAAAGATGAGGTTTTTTGCTCTCGTAAAGATTTACAGCCTCGGGAACCCTATTCAGGGTTGCTATGAACCAGAGCCGACACCATGGCCCACCACTACCACCACCAGTAACAGAATAGCTAATACTTGTCACAAGTTTCAGAACTCTACATTCTTATTTGTTAAGTAAGTAGCAGTAATGGAACTAGACCCTTGGCTAATAGGAAACCCTAGGGTATCCTCGGTGTTTCCTAAAGTTCTGCTCTACCAGAAGTTGCAACACATATTAGTTTCCCAGCATTTCCTTCAGAAGTCACTGCTACTCCCCCTAAGTCATCCACTGTCCCTGAGCAAAATGTACTCAGACTGCTAAGTTCAGTTTAATGAGAACTGGTTGAGGATGCCAGAGGCCGGCTCCTCAGACAGCAGGCGCTGCTTTAAAAACCTACTGCTGTTAGGGGTGTAGAGAAGTTCACCCCTCCTCCCTCACCTCTCTCCTTTTTGCCCCATTTTGCCTTTTTATCCTTTTACCAAGCTCCTTAAGTACAGAGAGTTCATGGCTACTATTCATTGCTCTCTCCCGCTCACCTAATGCAGCATCTGGTATGTAGTAAGAGGACAAGCAATGTTCAAAGAACAGCTTCTTTCAACATTTTCTGATATAGGTTCCAAAGGCATGCACTTCAAAGAGGAATTCTGTTCCCAAAACACTGGAGAAATTTTCATGTCTGTCCCACCCATGGAGTTCTTGGATGGTCCACTTGGTCAGCATGCTTGGCTGCTAACTGAAAGATTGGAGGTTGAGTTCACCCAAAAGTACTCTGGACGAAAGTCCTGGTGGTCTTCTTTTGAAAAAACAAGCCACTGAAAATTTGCGGATTGAGTTCTGTTCCCCGCAGATATATATTGTGAATCCTAACCTGCAAAGTCATTTGAACTGCAGGGTCAGCGGTTCAGGCTCACCAGCTGCTCCTCAGAAGGCCTATACAACGTCACTATGGGTCGGAATTAACAACAACAACAACCTGTATGCCTATGGTGTAATCCCATTTGGGAACTGTTGCCGTTGTTGGTAAGTGCCATTGAGTTGGTTCTGACTTGGGATTCCAAGGAGCAGCTGATGAGTTTGAACCATTGACCTTATTGTGGTTCAATCTAACCATGCAGTCCATCACATGTAACCCGCAGCGCCATGCCAGGGATTAGTGCAGAGAATATCTTGAGTCAGTCTGTTTTGAGATATAAAAAGAGCTTAAACAGGCCAGCGGAGAGAGATGGGGTAAGACAGATACCAAGACACATTGAGTGCTCCAAGGAACCAAGCAGCAGAAACCGAAGGGACAAGGACCTTCCCCCAGAATTGGTGGAAAGAGAAAGCCTTTCCCTAGAGCTGGAGCTCTGAATTCAAATGTCTCGCCTCCAAAACTGTGAGAAAATAATTTTCTGTCTGTTACAGTCATCTCCTTGTATTTTTCTTACAGCACCATTAGATCACTAAGACAAAAACCCTTTGGAGTTCAGTTCTACTCTGACACAGATGGGCTTGCCACAAGTTGGAACCCATGTGATGACAACTGGTTTTTTGGTCCCACTGTGGGAGAGCCATAAAGCATATCAGCATTTTAAAGGCTCTGAGATATTCCACAGTAAAAAAAACAAACAAACAAACAAACATATCTAACCCTTCTGTTTCATCTAACTTTTCCCAAACCTAACCGAATGAATTATACAGCCTGGTTTCTCTAAGGTCTGCAGTTAAATGGTAAATTGTAACTTGTAATTAAGAGTTGCTGGTTTCTTCAACTGTGATTCTCCTGATGTGAGGTCTCATTAGCATTGGTAGCTGCTCACAGATATTGTTGCTGGAGAGCATTCAAAGGAAACAGCCCTCTCTGTGGTTTTCATCGTAGACTATCCACTGTTAATGTGTTGGTGAGGCATGCTTGGTTTTCACATGTTTTTTCTGTTGGGGGTTTCCTTATTCGCTCACTGACATTTTAAACAGGCTCTAACATATGTGCTGCAAAAGTACTTCTGAGATAGTTACCCCGTGACCATTGGATGCAACTTACAGCATTATTGCATAATGTTTTCAAAGGAAGAACTGAAAGCCAAAAAAGAATCGCTTGAACTTGTTTTACATATCACAGCAAAATAGCAATGAGAGAAAAACAAGATTAGAAGACTAAGAAGTGTTGGGAGAGAAGACACACTGTGTACTTGGTTTATGGGTTTTTTTTTGGTGTGTGTGTGTCCTTCTGATGTCATTTTAGTCCTAAGATTGTCACAAAATTTGGAATAGAATGAAATCCTGTCAATTCCAGTTTATCTATCAGATTTTATGTCTGATTTATACTTTAGGAGAGGGTAGCATGGTATGACATCATATCAGCACTCCCAGTATAGACACTGTGATTTTGAATCACTTCTTAAAAAGGACTTCATGCTGATGATTTGTCTCTTCTGTTTGTTAATGGCCCTCCTTTAATGCTGTGCTCCAAAAGACATCACTGCTGTTCCTTACAGTATTTAGACATCTGGATAGCAAGCAACTAGTTCGATCAGTTCTCCAGATGTTTTCAGTCCAGTGGGAGCCAAGTCCCAAGATAGCTGAAGATTAGTTATGAGGAGCAGAGGGCAAGTCCTGTTTTGCTTCTTCAGTTTTTGTCTGTTTTATTTTTACCCACTCCAGAATTTTTAGACACTTGAATGCCTTGATTGTTAATTAAGACCAGAGAGAAGTTGAAGGGTGAGTAGAGGGGGGAAGGTAAGGAGAGTGTCAGTGATTTTAGGATGCGTTCTGAGAAGTAACTGTTTTTCTACCGTTGGTACTTCTACTCCCATGGGTGCTGAAACCACGTGGACAATCTGTGTGATCCAGCTCCTGAGATCACAGTGCCTCCATTTCATTTCAAGCTGTGGTCATGGTGTGTGTTCCTCTTTTTAAAGATAATGGGAAATTCATCCGAGTTCCAGAAAGCTGTCAAGTTGGTCATCAACACAGTTTCATTTGACAAAGATTCCACTGTCCAAGTCTTTGAGGCCACAATAAGGTAAAACGAAAGTACATAAAATGGATTGAAGACTTCTATGTGTGTGTGTAAAGAAAAAAATTCCTCTAAGTATCTCCTAGCCACAAGATCCAGAAAGCAAACCAGGTAGACCTTACGGGTGCCACGACCATGTTTCATTTTCATATTTATTAAAACTGCAACAATTGATGTGTCAGGCATTACATTTTGGACTAAACTGAAAGACACCCATGGTTTTGTGTCCCTTTAATGCAAATTTATGTGGTTTGCCTTATGGCTGGTCTTGTCTCCTCTGTCCCATGTATCTGAGGAAAGCCCCTTGACGTTTCTGAAGGAAATGAGTTTCCCATTTCCCCTGCCACCCACAGAAGACTACTGTTTACCGCTGTGGTGTGTTCCCTTGTAATCTTCCTCATCCTGGTCTCTCTCACATATTAGGAACATGCTCGACACACCGTTTTGATTCTTGTTTTTTACAGCTTAGAATATTGTGACTGTTTTCCTGTTTCACTTAAACTTTTTGAAATCTGTACTGGCTGCATGAATTCCAGTTTACAGAAGTAATATTTACTTAAAAAGGAAAGTTATAAATACACGTGCTCCAAACAAGGTCACAGTCCTCTTCAGATGAGTGGGGCAGGGCCTTCAAGGACGTGATCTGAGCACGTGGTGTCTACCTATGAGCAGGCCACTCTCTCTTCCTCTTCCTGCTCAGCGTGTCTCTGAGCCAGATGTTGGAGAAGGCCAGCAGGTGCTTGGTGGTCAGAATGACAGCAGTTACATCTGGTGACTTAGTATTTCTTGCCCTAGCCTCTTGTTTCTTAGATGACTCAGTTTTTTCCCTAGGTGAGATAAACCGACATCATTTAACAGTGCTAGTTATCAGTCATATTCACAGTATTGTGATAAGAATGTGGGCAGTCCTTGTTGATGAAGTGATTAAGACTAGCAGACACATGTTCTTATTTTAAGTGTGATTATTCTCAGCGCCTTGGATGAGTGGTTCCCTTTTTCCCTTTCAGTAAGTGGGAACTGTTGGTTTATCTTGAGGACTGGAAAGGACTTTCAGAGAACATTGAGTCCAGTCAGTTATGAGGCCACAAGGAAGTAGAGGTTTCCTCTGTGGTCCTGGATTGGATTGCATGTGTTTACATACACATAAAGACATTTCTGTTAGTATAATTTTTTATGCTTCCTATTATAGGGTCCTGGGAAGCCTCCTCTCTGCCCACAGAATCATAACTGACTCCAAGCAGCCCTTTGGTGACATGACCATCGAGGACTATGATAATGAATTGTTGCACATGGCTCGTGACCTAGCTGTGCGCCTCCTCCCAGCCTTTGAAAACACCAAGACAGGCATCCCCTATCCTCGGGTAGGTAGACTGCTTTGCTTGTATTGAACTGTTCTCTGTTTCGGAATGAAAACTCTTGTTTACTAATTTCTTTGGAGGAGAGGGTAAGACTGAGGTAACAGAAGGACATACCATCTTTGGAAAAGCTTAGCCCCAAATATGGATTTTAATTCATTCAGCATTTACCAAGCACCTACTGCGGGCTGATCATTAAGTGATAGGTCATGGGAAAATTGAATGAAAAGAAGGGAAATTTTCCAGAAACTTTTGAAGCGCCCCTAGAATCAGGCTTAATCCTTCTCATGAAGGAATTTCTGTTCCTGTGCTCAGTGTTTCTGAGTCTGTATGTCCTATATCTCTACCTACAAAATAGAGTGGAGGTTTTGGCTTCCTTGTTGACATACATGTAATTCTCCTGGTACCCCTCATATGTCTGTTGTTGGAGTTCAGTGAATGCCTTTTGAATGCCACATAAAGCTTGCACCAGGCTGGTGAGGTAGCAGTTGATTTCAGACCAAGATCTGGAATGGGATTGTATCCTGTGGCATCTGATTGGTTGAGCCCAGAACTCTTCAGGGGATTGAGTCAGCCTCTTAGGTAACCAGTGGGGAATTGCCAGACCACAGAGCCACACTGATGAAACAGGCTGTCATGTTCTCACTGGGCCTTTTCCTTCCCAGCCTGGACGTTTGTTTGTACTTCCCTGGCTAGCATGAATCCATAGTAGCTCATTTAAAATTTATGTGATTCTCCACCTTGTCCTTGTCTCCAATCCCAAAGGAAACAGGAAAAGAGCTCAGTGAAGAACATTTGTTCTTAAGAGTATGGCCAGGCTCTGGTGTTCTCACCGTCTGTTTGTGTGTTTTAAGTGTAACTCCCGAATTCATTTTGGATGTACAGTGGGAGGCAGGGACTTACACCGAAGTAAACTGTATTTGTTAGTCAGGGCTGCTGACTGACCTGGTCTTCAGCCCTGTGGATTCCAGAGTTTTGCCACAGAACCTTTGTGTCTTCCTGTCTCAGGTGAATTTAAAGACAGGTGTTCCTCCTGACAGCAATAATGAGACGTGCACGGCAGGGGCTGGCTCCCTCCTGGTGGAATTTGGGATTCTGAGCCGACTCTTGGGGGACTCCACGTTTGAATGGGTGGCCAGACGAGCTGTGAAAGCCCTGTGGAACCTCCGGAGCAATGACACAGGATTACTAGGTGGGGGCACCTTCTCGCACCCTCGGAACTCGGTCCTCTTTCCTTTCATCATCTTTAGGACTCTCCCTCCTTTTCTACTCCAAAAAGTAACTCAGGAAGAATGATGTCTGCCGTATCCAATTTCTTTATGTGACCTTTTGCTTAGAATGAGGCTAAACGGTTTGGTGGGAGAGAATAATGGTTTCATTGTTTGAGAGTGCCCTTCTGATTTGAGTTTGTTGGCTTATTCCATTTGAAAATAATTGTTAATGGAAATGCTATAAAAAGAACTGTCTCTGAGGCAGATTTTATTGCTTCAATATAGGATTCTAAATATAGGAATTTAGAGTTACTGGTAAAGTGGCTTTCTCTTTTTAGAAAAATCTAGGCACCTGGTAGTTGAAAACCCCAAATAAATTCTTCTTAGATGTTTGTTTGTTTTCCCCTTGAGAATGTTTGGTCAAGATGTTGTTTGAAAATTACAGTGGCAATTTTAAACACATAAAAGTATTGAGGAAGTACAGTAAATAATGAACCCTTGTGCCCTCATTCTTAATTGGAGTCCAGTGTGGTGCTGTAGGATAAGGACTGCTAACCACAGACTAGCAAGATCAGCAGTTCAAACCCACCAGCCGCTTCTTGGAAACCCAATACATCATCATTAAGAGTCAGAGCCGACTCAATGGTACTTAACAACAACAGTGTACTTACTCATTACTCATCTTCAATAATTATCAATATTTTGCCAACTCAAGATGCCGCCTGTTAAGCCAAAAGTCATATGAAGCCAGCAGTAGAGATTAATTATAGTTTATTGAATACATGATTGGCAAATCAGGGTAACATTTTGATGGGTGATGGTGATAGGATGCTGTCAAGTCACTTCCACATTGTATAGGGTTTTCGAGGCTGTGAATCTTTATGGGAGCAAAAAGCCAAATCTTTTGCCTGAGGAGTGACTGGTAGATTTGAACTGCTAACCCAGTTTGTAATCCACTATGCCATCTCAGAAGATGAGAAGAGTTTCCCAAATTCTTACACCAGATTTACTGACAGTGCCATGGGAAAGGGGCAGAGCAGAACTGATGAATAATTTGTGGTCACATAGAATTTCATATAGCAGTGTCTTGAAAAACAATTAAAATAATTACTGATTTACCCTAAACGTTGTATCCTGTCTGGTATTTAGTATGAGTCTCTGTTTTCCTAAAATGATTGAGTTGTTCAACAGAGTACAATGCCCCAGGTCAAACCAGTTTACTTGTTTACCTCGCCCATTGTTTGAGCCTAGGGTGGTTTTTAGAAAACTAGCTTCTTCAAGGCTCAAGGTTCAAAAAGACACTTCAGGGCACATGGCTCAGAAATCTAGACTCCAGGAAAATTAGAAACTATTTCTCACATGGTAAAATTAGTTTTCATGCAAGTGTTTTTCTTGTACTGAGAATTTGGAATCTGGCATTAGGAGGTCTTGTTTGTTCTAGAGCCACAAAAGACATTGCAAGAGTCTTGCTTTGTAGAGGTGATTCTGAATTATTCTTAATGTTCCAAAATTGATTTACAAACATATACTTAAAATAGTAGAAATAAAAAAAAGACTCTTCCTTCACCGTAAATTGTCAACCTTTTGTGTTTCACAGGACTTTCCAGCATGTGCCATTTGTATAAATTTTTAAAAAATTATAATATAAATACACATTTTTATTATGCCTTAAACTTGGTGGTACTGTGGGTTAGGCCTTGCACTACTTACTACAAGGTTAGTAGTTCAAACCCACCAGCTGCTTTGAGGGAGAAAGATGAGGCTTTCTGCTTCCTGGAGATTTTATTATTGCTGTTGTTAAGTGCTGTTGAGTTGGTTCTGACACAGAGGCTCTGCATCGAGTAAATCTTTGTGGGAGCAGAAAGCCTCATCTTTCTCCCGAGGAGTAGGTGGTGGACTTGAATTGCTGACCTTGTGTGGTTCGCTGTCCCGCGTTTATTTTACAGAGTCACCGCACTTTGGTAAACATTTACATTCTCAGAAACCCCATATAGGGTCTCTGTAAGTTAGGATCAACTTAATAGCAGTTGGGTTGTTTTTTGTGGAGGTGGTTTACCTTTGACAGGTTTTTCAAGAGTTTCAAGTTGTCAGCCTTGTTTTCACTGTTATTTTTAAAAAGCCTCATACTTATTCCTAAATTATTCTTTTGATGTTGAAAACTTGGAGTCTTTTTTTTTTTTTTTTACCATGTTATAGATATTTTTCTGGTGAGCAATGTAAAACTTTTTTTTCCTCTTGAAGTTTTATTAATTTTGTTGTTGGGAATGTGCACAGCACACCATCAGCAGTTGGTGCATGTACAATATAAATATAGTGGCATTATGTCCAGTCTTCCAGTTGTGCAATCATCCTCTGCCTCCTTTTCTGAGTTGCTCCTTTCCCATTCCCATCAGCTCATGGCCCTGGAAGCTTCCTGTCTAATCTTCTGAGCTGCTGTTGTCACTGCGATTTCAATATGTTGTTGTTGCCATCAGCTCTGACCCTTAGCGACCCTGTGGAGGGTTTTTGAGGAGTGGCTGGTGAGTCTGAACCGCTGACCTTGTGGTCCAAACTGACCTTGTGGTCCGGTACTTTATTGTACAGCGCCACGCTGGGACTTCTTTCTAACTCATAGAGAACCTGTTTAGTGTTTCTGAGACTTTAAATCTTTAAATTTGAGAGCAAAAAGCCGAGTGGCTGGTGGACTTGAACCGCCAACCTTGCTTCGTGTCCTGTGGTTTTCCTGTGGAGCCACTGCATTCCAAGATTCTGAAAAGAACTGAATGCTCAAGGCAGACTTTTTTATTTTTTTTAACTAGTTGAGCTAAACTGTAACTATTGCTAGGTTTTGAGATGACTTCAGGGGATCTCTTTGGTATAATGTTTAAAGATGATCTCAGGGTAACTGGTACAGGGGTTTATCTACCCTCCATGGCTCCAGAAAGTCCATGAGAATTTGATATTCTGTTCTGTATATCCACCGTTTTGATCAAGACACTGTGAGAATTTGAAATCTGGTCTGCATATCCACCCTTTTGATCAAGATTCTTTTATGGGATTTTAATCAAAGTATTCAGTCAAAACTTTCTTTTTTTAAAGACATTTTTATGTAGGATAATTTGGGTCAAAGCTTTTGAACATCTTTTGGCCTTTGAAATGCCTTTTTAGTCAGGAAACACTAGATGTTCTCTTTTATATGAAGTGTTTATTCCCATTTAATCCTATGGTCTTAGATCTCCAGACTGCCCATGCTATTGATATGACTGCTGGAAGTTTGAGGGCCTGCCATTTACTCATCCTCTTAGCTCTCATCTGACAAGGGACACGAAGCTGAGGAGCAGTGGGTTTGAAGTGGACGCTGGACACTGGGATACTGAAGCCTCTTGTTTGTTTTTCAGGCAACGTGGTCAACATTCAGACAGGCCACTGGGTTGGAAAGCAGAGTGGCTTGGGTGCTGGCCTGGATTCCTTCTATGAATACCTCTTGAAGTCTTACATTCTCTTCGGAGAAAAAGAAGACCTAGAAATGTTTAATGCTGCATATCAGAGTATTCAGAACTACTTAAGAAGAGGGTATGAGTCCTTAACATCTCTAGTGTGACCTCATAAAACAAATACAACATATTCTGAAATGTTTAGACTGTTCTCAGGAGAAGATTGCAGGGTTTCTCATCCCCTGGCTTAGTTAATTGTGAGTCATTTGAGGTTGAAGAGGTAGATTATTAGCTCTCTAGTGCCGCAGCAAGTCATTCTAAAACTTTGTGGCTTAAGATAACAAATGTTTTTGCTCACACAGTTTCTGAAGGACAGAAATGCAGGGAACCACTTACTTAGTTGGGAGGTTTTGGTTAAGGATCTCTTAGGACACTGCTGTTGACTAGACCTGCTGGCATCTCCAGGTTTGAGCCAGCCTCAGACTGCCCTGCTTACTTGGTTGGTTGGCTAGTTTCCATTCCTCACGGGCTGTTGGTGGAGTCCTCAGTTCCCTGCCACATGAGCCTTTGCGCAGGCAGCTCATGGCATCTGGCTTCCCCAGAGTGGTGAGAGAGACCAAAGTGGAAGCTACAGTGGTTTTCTGCCATAATTCTTTTCATCACAAAGACGAATCCTGGCACAGTTGGGAGTGGGCAGAGAACGAATCATTGGGGGGGCCTTTGTAGAGGCTGCCTACCACTGGGGTAACATCACTGGCATGAACTGTGGCTCTTATTTTACATAAAGGAGTAATGCAGGGAAGCTGTTGGCTTATAGCTTTTTTTTCTTGCCAGAGAATGATTAGGGTCTTTATACCTGATGAAAGAGAGGACAATTGGTAGACTTTGTTTCCTTTTGTGTTTCTTAAAGTAAACTTACTTGCCATTTCTCAGTTGTGCATTTGAGACGACAGGGGAGAGAGCTATTGTCGATGCTGAGCTTCGTGCTCGTTGGGGTTCCTTAGGCCCATTTCCACATTAGCCCCTGCAGGAGTCACTGTGTTTGAAGAAGAGATGGTTGACCAGAGTCCAGGCACTTTTACCCGAAACTAAATTGTCTCGTGACGCCTGAGAGTCTTGCTGTAATGGATTCATCCAGACTCATGGTGTGGGTCCTTATTATAGAAGAAGCTCTTTTTGCTTCAGACCCCTACTAGACAACAGCAGTGCTGTAAACCTGAAGGTTCAGGTGTTTTGTGCAAGGTAACGTAGCTGCTGTGTCTAAGACTGTTTTTCTGTGACAGGTGTCATCGTCAGCTCGAGTCTCGTGTGCACAGGTAGCAGGCAGTCTCCACACTCTTAACACTCTTAAAGCTGACTTAGGAGAAGTTAGGGTTGATCTCATTTAAATTAGATCACCAGGGGTGGCTGTGGAAAGAGAGCTAGAGCGAGGTCCCTGATTTCACCAACCGGGAGCCGGGCTGCATCTGCCTTCACCTTCGGATTCTTTGCTTGCTTTTGTAGTCGGGAGGCCTGTAATGAAGGAGAAGGAGACCCCCCACTCTACGTGAATGTGAACATGTTCAGTGGGCAGCTGATGAACACCTGGATCGACTCTCTGCAGGCCTTCTTCCCTGGACTGCAGGTATTTTGGGGTCATTTGCTAAGAAAGGAGTTCTGATGGCACAGTGGTTCAGCACTTGACTGCTAGATGAGAGGTTGCTGGTTCGAACCCACCAACTGCTCCTTGGTAGAAAGATGTGGCTGTTTGCTTCTGCCAAGATTTACAGCCTTAGAAACCCTACGGGGCATGTCTCCTCTGCCCTATGAGTCGGAATAGAATTGATGAAATCTAGTTTCGTTTTTGTTTTTTGGCTAAGAAAGGAGTCCCTGAGTGCTTCAAGAAGTTAACATCCTAACTGAAAGGTGGGAGGTTTAAGTCCACCCAGAGTTTCTAGTCCACCTAGTGATCTACTTCCAAAAAATCTGCCACTGAAAATCCAGTGATACATAGGGGTCAACATGAGTTCGGGTTGATTGTATAGCAATTGATGGATTGCTAAGGAAAAGTTAGTTTTATGGAGCGATGAATATGCTTCACATTTTGTCTGGAGCTAACTGAAGTTAGAGACTTTATTTTTTATATGTGTATTTTGGGGGACGAACAATTTCTAAACACCTATACCAGGAATTGGAGTCCTGCTGCGTCACTATAGGAGAAGCACTGGACTGCTGATTGCAACGTTGGCGGTTCAAACCCACCAGCAGCTCCTTGGAAACCTTACACAGGGTTGCTGTGAGTTAGAACCAACTCCATGGCGCTACCAGCAATAACAACAACAACACCAGCAGTTGCATTGGGCTGCAAGGTCAGCAGTTAGACTCCACCAGCGTGCTCCTCAGGAGAAAGATGAGCCTTTCTGTTCCCGTAAAGATGTACAGTCTTGGAAACCCTACACAGGGTCACTGTGAGTCAGCATTGACTCAACAGCAGCCAACAACAGCATGCTGAACAACAAAGAACTCTCAGGATAAAACTGAAATTTGGGAGGGAGAAGTTGTTTCAAAGAGAAAACTGGGTAATTTTGTTAGTTTGTTTTTCCAATTATGCCAGCAAAGAAAGAAACACAATTATATATAACATGATTCAGATTAACCTCTCTATTGTTTATTAGGTTCAGGAATGCAGTCATGCTCTCCGACACTGTCCCCGTCTTGGGCCTGCAGTTAGTACCTGGGCCAGGCTCTGCGGAGGGAGACGGGGTGGCTAAATCCTGAGAGCAGACAGCTCCACTGCAAGCCTCATGCTTGGCCGTGCCTTTGGGCTGAGAAAATGCTTTGTAGTATTTTGATGTTTGTAAATTTATGGATATTTGTTTTGTGGCCTAATACATGGTTTATTCTGGAGACTGTTCCATGTGTACTGGAAAAGAATGTTTATTGTGCAGTTGTTGGATTGAATGCTCTGTACACATTTATGAGGTCCAGTTGGCTGATTGTGTTGTTTAGTTCTTCTGTGTCTTTGTCAAGTTTGGCCGTGTCTTTGGGTTGGGCCTCTCTTACTTCTGATGCTCACACAGCCCTGGGACGACACACTTCTTGAAGGGGAAGCAGCTGGGCTCCCTCACATGGGTGCTGCTAAGCCTAGGATTGGGTTGTAGTTCTAAAAAAATGACTTTGTGATTTGAATAGTATCAGATCATGTGGTCCCTGTAGTTGTAAAGGTTTAGGCATAACTTCAATAGCTACCAGCCCCCTGTGGCTAGTTGAGTGAGCACCAAAAAAGTGGCTCCTCTGTGTGGGAGTGTGCTGTACCTGACATCCACAGGCAGACCTTGACAACTTAGTGCAAAAAAAAAAAAGTGAAGTATTAGTAATTTGTATATTGATCATATGTTGAAATGATAGCATATTAGACATTGAGTTACACAAACTTAATTTACCTGTTAATTTTCAGTTTAATTTTTTTGCTTTTTCATGGAGCTGCTAAAAAAAATTATAAATCCATATGTACTCTTTTAAGAGCCATCTATTTGGGAGTCCTAGTGTGGTGCTGTAGGATAAACACTGGACCGCTAACTGCAAGGTCACTGGTTCAAGGCCACCAGTCACTCCTTGGAAACCCTATACAGAGTCGCTATAATCAGAAACAACTCATCAGCACTTAACACAATTTACGGGATCAAACTGACAGCAATCCAATTGAGAGGTTAGAAACCTTCACCCACCCACTGTCATTGAGTTGATTTTGAACCCTGTATAGGGTTTCCAAAGCTGTAAATATCTACAGTTCTCCTGTGGCTTGAGCTTGCCGACCTTCCGGTTAGACGTCCGGCTCTTCTACAGCTCCACTGTGGCTCCTTGTTTGGAACCTCGTCGTTGTGTGCTGCTCATAGCGACCCGGTACATGGTTCTGAGGAGATGCTGGTGGGTTTCAGCTGCTGACCTGTGGATAGCACTCCAGTGCTGATCCTACAGTGCCACACCAGGAGTCCGACAGGAACCTTAGGGACAGTGGCGGAGAAATAACCCAGGAAGAAAGGGTGAGTGAGGCTGGTGGCACAGCTCCGAGAATGTCATCGGTGGCACATGTAGAAATGGTAGACTTGCTGGCTGTTTTCCTGTGTACAATCTCAGCAACAACAACAAAAATTTAAAAACTAAATGAATAAAATGACATCAGGCTTACTGGTCAGAAAGAGACTGGAGGAACCCAAGACTGCGGCCCTCACCTCTTGTCAGGTCTGGAAAGGAAGGAACTCACCCTCCTCACCCTCAGGTCCCAGTTTTTAGCAAAGCGGTAGATAGGTGTATAGCGGCACAACAATACCAGTCCTTGTTAGGCCTTGCAGTTCAAACTGACCTTGTGGGTCAGTGTTTATCCTACAGCACCACACCAAGACTCCAACTCCTGGTATATTGTTACTGTTGTTAACTGCTGTAGAGTCGGTTCCAACCCAAAGCGACCATGTACAGGGTTTCTGAGGAGCGGCTGCTGAGTTTGAACTGGCAACCTTCCAGTTCAACTGCCCTTGCAGTCCAGCTCATGAACCTATAATGCCACAGCAGGGCCCCAATTCCTGGTATTGGTGTCTAGAAATTGTTGGTCCCCTGAAATCCACAATCCCCTAAATCACCATGGAATGGTCAAGCTCAAAAGGGCCAAATTTTCCTAAGGACGGAGTTGAGAAGGGCTGGGAAGGAGGGTGGCATGGAGACAGGAACCACAGGGAGGACGCGGGAGCACTCTTGTTGCAGGGAGAGGACTGCAGTCATTGAGATGAAACAAACCAAGTGTAGGATTTGTTGAATCCGAAACTGGTGGTCTTCTCTGTAAACCTTCCCCTAATTCACAATAAAAATTAAAAAAAAAAAAAATCAATACATTGTAAGGAAGTAGAAAAAATTACCTATGTGACTTCTTGCAGTATGTTTCTGTTAGAAAAGTCTGGATTGGATATTGAAATGATTTAAAAATGCTTTTATCTCTAAAATTGACCTTCCCACCCCTCCTCCCCCCGCCAATCTTCATTTCAAGGCCTCCTGGCATACGTATGCTAAGCTGGTTATCCTACAAAGTGGTGGGGCCACTTCTGTATACACCACCTATAAAGGGACATATGACAGGCGATGGCGCTTGTGAAGCGATGCTTTGTATCTTGGAAGTAGCTATAGTGTTTTCAGAAAGCTGTAGTGTCCGAGTCTCCAGCACACTTTTTACTTACCCTTTAACTGGGTTCTAGGATGTTTTACAGGTCGTGTGAAAGGATTGGAAAGGACTTTTTAAAAATTTTTGGTGGGTGAAGAGGGTGGGGAGGGGTGGGATACCCTACTTCCCAGTGTCTCTTGATTGTTGTGTTTTGAAATTAGTTCCCAGATGTAGAACCGGGAGAGCCTTACTAAGTATGTACAAATCCATACTTGAAAAGTAATTGAGTGTGAATTTTGTATAATCCACCTCTCAGCTAGTTCTCACTTATCTGCTTTGTATTAGAACCATTAGTTAACCTCTTCTCCTATGTATCATTGGCCTTCTGACCGCAAATTTGGCTGCAACCATTTGTCTGGGCTCCTTTTCTGTTGTTACGGCTCCAGCCATGTTTGTAGGTCACTTAAGAGCAAAGGTGTTGGGGTGGCAGAGGGGGAGGCCTGGGATCTTGGTATCAAGCTTGCTGTTTTGGGGAAAGGGGCTTAGCTTTGCGATCTGTGTCTCCTCCGCAGGTCCTAATAGGGGACGTGGAAGATGCCATCTGCCTACACGCCTTTTACTATGCCATATGGAAGCGATACGGAGCCCTCCCCGAGAGGTATAACTGGCAACTGCAGGCCCCTGATGTGCTGTTCTACCCACTGCGACCCGAGTTAGTGGAATCTACGTATCTCCTCTATCAGGTAGTAGACTTCCACATTAGCTTGTATTTAATGAAATACTTAGGAAGCTCTATAGCTGTTGGTTTTTAGTGAACATTTGCTTAGTAATATAGAATGATGTTGCTCCATCGTGTCCCTGGTAAGCACCTGTCTGCACTCGTGTTTAGGGTGAGTGTAATGCGTGGTTCCACAGGTGTGCGAGTCTGGGCTCAAATATGTCTTTCAACCTAATAGTTATTGGACTTATTTCTCAGGGCCTTCAATACTTAAGAGGAAGGTTTAGTATCTATTGCTTTCCAGATTTATTTGAGCACAGAACCCTTTTGGGGTCTAGCTCTGTACACCTGTGGAGCCCTAATATACATATAATAGTTATTCAGACAAAGGAGAAAAAAAATTATTTTTCTCAGTTGTAAAACAAGTCATACTTGTTTTATCTGGGTGCCCATTTCTTTTTTTCCATTTTTACATGAATAATGTGCACATTTTGTCTTAAGGGCACTATGGTAATTTTATTGCAGCAATATGTAAAAAATCAAATTAGCATAGAACTCTTACCAAAATATGTGAATTGAGGGGAAGAAATACCTGAGGTGGGGGTGTCTGATGACCCCCCCCCCCAAAATAGCATGTTATTTACATAAAAATACAGTGCTGTATTCATGCCCCTAGTTGGAATGGGTTCTCATACCTGAAGAGAGACCTCCTGAGTTTTAGATAACCTTTTTTCCAGTAAGGGAATAGAGAACATCTGCGTTTCTTGGTTGATTTCTCTGCCCTCATCGTCCTGAGGGGAGCCTGCCAGGCTGTGCTGCTTTCTCCTGTCAGCCACTCCCTATCCCATGTTTTCTGGTTCCTTACGAGTTCTGGGGCCTCTCCTTCAGCTTTACTGGAGGCCATCTTCGGATGCCACTGCGCAATCCTGACACTGTAACTTTGTAGTCATTTGCTTTTACTGCAAGTTGGCACGAGTTAAAGATGATCTCTGATGTAGAAAGTGTGTGGGGGGTAAAGGTCCCATCTCTCAGCTGTTTTTTTACCATAATGAGGTCATTTATGAGCATGTGACAGAAGAGTAAACCATCCAAGGACTCGTTTCTCAGAATGATTGGGAAGTGTGGTCTCCTTTAGATCTTTTTGAAACTCTTGATAGAATGCCTGGCCAATACCTCCTGGTGCTATAAGCAGCACTGTTTCCCTTTGCCTCCGTCCTCAGTTTGTAGATGCTCTGAGGCAGGAGAGAAACTGGATTTGTTCTTAGACGTGGCACCAGCAGGGTGGGCTTCATTTCATTTCTAACCATGGCAGGGTCAGGAGAGCCAGAGTTGAATATTTTTTCTGCCTTGGAGTGGAGTCTCAGCGCTTGTTCAGGCTAAATTGTAGGTATGCTTTGGCATGGATTGACCCCGCCATGGTTAGTCCTCTGTGAATGGGGCTTACTCTCCCTCCTTTGGCCAGTGGCTCCTCTCTGGGGCCTTCCTGAGGTCCCATGATGATTGTTGTCTCCAAGGCCATTCTGGATCTCAGTCTCGTGTTCTCTCTAGGCAACCAAGAATCCCTTCTACCTCCACGTAGGAATGGACATTCTGCAGAGTCTGGAAAAGTACACAAAAGTCAAGTGAGTTTTCTAAGTTCCTTCCTTTATCCGTTGGCACCTTTTCATGTATTTTGAGTCATTCTGGGGGAAGATGATTCTGGTTTACATTTTAATCAAGAGAACATTCATGCTAATTTCATAAAGAAATCACTTACTCTCTGGTGTAGTGAAATACCTCCATAATTTATTTTCTCCCCTTATTTACTGTAAGACGCCAGTGGGTCTTGTGTGTTCTTTTAAAGTAGCATATTTTCTATAGTTATACAAATGGTAAGAAACTTAGGGAGTACAGAAAGTACTGTGTTTCTTAAATAATATGCTTACACGTGTAACGAGTGGACATGGTAAAATGAGTAGAACACGTCTGGCATGGTGCAGCTGGCTAAAACAAACAAAATGAAGAACCATATAGCGCATTATTTACGTGAAAGTATACAAAGAGTTAGAGTATTTTCATTTTAGTCTCCACGTACTAAGATAATCACAGTGAGTGTTTAAATAAATGTACTTAAAATAGTATATATATATGTAATTTTATATATAGGAGTCTTGGTGTGGCACTATAGGGTAAGCACGTGCCAATTACTCAGTGTAGTGACTTACAAAGGGGGGCTTCCTAAAGCCAAGATGCATAGAGTACAAGGTCAGTTTGAACCACAAGGTGGCATTTCAAACCCTCCAGCTGTTCCTCAGAAACCCTATACAGGGTTGCTGTGAGTCAGAACCAACTCATGTTGTGGGTTGATATGCTGGACTGCAAAGTCGGTTTGAACCGCAAGGTTGATGGTTCAAACTCACCAGCTGCTCCTTGGAAAACAGGTGGCTGTGAGTCAGAACCGACTCAGTGGCACTTAATGACAACAACAACTTATATGTGTGTATGCACACATTTTCTACATATATAAATGTATGTGTAGTTTTTTAAGTACATATACTTGATTGCTCACTCTGGTTATCTTTGTACTAAAGTGAAAAAATAAAAATGAAATATACACGGTACTTCAGTTTTTTTATCCTGCTCTTCTTGCCTAGCTGTATAGTTCAGCATTTTCTTAATGCCATGGGGTTTGGGGATGTATATATGACCAATCAGTTTTAGAAGTGGTTGTTAAATGCCGTAATGTCAGTTTCAACTCATAGTGACCCGTATAGGGTCTCTAACCACCAACCTTGTGGTGTACAGTCCAATGCGTATCCTATAGTGCCACACCAAGACTCCAGTAGAGAGATGAAATTTAAATCAGAATTAAATCTGTTGCTTTTCATTTTCTTGATGTCTTGTGCTTTTGGCAAATACCCCTCCCCTCATCCAGTCTGATGATTTCTCCGCCTAACTGCTGTTTAAACGAATTTGCAGACATCCAAGCTTAAAAAAACATAGCCCTAAGACCTAGACATCATTGATTTATTTTTTATGCGGTTGTTGATGGTTTGGTGGAGTGAGTGAAGGAAGGGCTAAGTGGACACCTGTTTTGTAGGTGTGGATATGCCACGCTGCATCACGTCATAGACAAGTCCAAAGAGGACCGGATGGAGAGCTTCTTCCTCAGTGAGACCTGCAAGTACTTGTATCTGGTACGTGTGTTGCAAGATTAGCCCGAGGAAGATGCAGCTTAGAGCATTCACTCACTCACCACAGATATTCCACCTGCTATGTGCTAGACACTGGGCGGAGCCCCAGGATACAGGCACCAGCACAATCAAGGTATTGCCAGCTTCCTATGGGGTTTCTAACTTGACATCAAGGAGTTGATAAGTCAACACACAAATGAATTCCAGATTATTCACAGTGCTGGCAAAGAGGGCCGGCATAGGCTTGATGGCCAGGGAAGGCTCCTCTGAGGAAGGGAGCAGTGTTTAGACCCCTTCCCTCAGTTCCACAGATGTATGTGATGGCAGCTGAGACCACGTCCCAGACACACTGTCATGTGGAGAAGACCTGGAAGGAATGTTGGCTCTGACTCATAATGACCCTGTGTGGTATCGGGTTTCCAAGGAACGGCTGGTGGGTTTCAACTGCCGACCTGTGGTCAGTAGTCCAGTGTGTATCCTGTAGTGCCACACCAGGACTCTTGAGATTGTCTAGTCAGTGTTTATTCTCCCCAGAGGATAATCTACCAGCCACCTACCCAGGGTCTCGTGCTGACGAAGTGCAGAGCTTCGGCCTAAGTCCTGGGCCTGACTCTGGTCTGTGCTCTTCTGTGTTACTCCTGCCACATGGACGCTCGTGTCTCCGTGTGTGCATGCACAGCGACTCTCCTCCCCACGTGCCACTTACTTAGTGTGGTGACTTACAAAGGGGGACTTCCTAAAGCCAAGATGCATAGGATTTCCTGGTGGGAAGAGTGTGTTAACTGAGGACTTGTGCTGAAATCCAGAGCTATTGAGAGCTCCAGTTAGGGTCTGATGCCAAATTAGCGAGTGGTGCCCAAGGTCAGGGACCAGATGAATCAGATCACCCAGGGGGCCTTGTCAGCAGTACAGCTGAATTGAATCTGAGCTTTAAATGTGGGCTCAGACTCAGCCTTTCAGAGTGTTCCTTTGCTCTTGTCACAGACTGCTGCTAAGACGTGTGTCCACATGCAGACCACATAGTTGTGGTCCCTGAGGAAGAACACAGTGCTCTCCTTCTCATGGTGTTTGCCCACCCACTCCTGGAGTCAGGGGTATGAACAGGGATATCTGAAGGAAGTGAGGAGTCGTGTTTGGGGCTCCGGGAAAGAACTCAGAATACTTGGTTCTGCCTCTTCCATTTAGACTGTCTCATTTTCCTTCATCTGTAGAAGAAAAATAATTTAGGTCATGAATTTGGTTTCTTTCACTCTCAGAGTTTGTAAGTATTCATCCATTCGGTGTTGACTGTACGCCTGGCCACTCCCTGTACCAACTCATCCCTGTGTGGGGAGGTGATCTTTCCAGATGCTCATGCCACATCCACAGTGAGGAGAGGACGGGGCTGTGGGTGCCCTCTGTCCTCAGACCCCCATCCTGTTCAACACAGCTATCTATTGGAGACCAAGTGTTAGCTTGGACCAGAGTCCTGGGTTTCTGAATTTAAACAAAAAGGGATGATTCTCTGCAGTCATGATTAGGAGCCACTGTTGTTAGTAGATACTTTTCACCCACTGGTCACTGGTGAACTTGCTATTGCAAACAGAGTTCTGCTGCCAGATAGTCTGGACACTCCCCTCTGAGTTAGTTTTGGCTCCCAAACATGTACAATGACCAGTTATAGCTTCCTTTTCATCTTCTTTTCCACTAGCTATTTGATGAAGAGAATCCAGTGCATAAATCTGGAACCAGATACATGTTTACAACTGAGGGACACATTATATCTGTGGACAGACATCTTCGGGAGTCACCCTGGAAGGAATTCTTTTCTGAAGAGGGCGAGCAGGACCAAGAGGGGAAACCCGTGCACCGGACCAAGTCTCACGACGTAAAAGTCATCAATGCCAGCTCCAATGTGAGTTGCTTACTCCAAGGGTAATTTGCATGAGGAGGAAGAGAAATTACTACGAATGAGTTACTGTGTCCTTGAAAGTCCTGGCGGGAACTCAATGGCACACACAGACCGGGTGGTTTGAAGAATTTCATAGAGTGACTGTTGGCATTGGAGTCATCACAGGGTAGGAAAATCGACAGGGCCTGGTGGAGAGGGTGGCCGTGGGGACCTGGAAGGAGAGACTCTTGTGGAATGACGCATCATGGGCCCCGTGGGCAAGCCTGTAGAATCAGCACTTGCCCTTCCTCTTCCTTCTCATCTCCTCAGGTGCCCCCAGTCTGAGGGCAAGAGCACCTGTTAACAGGGCCCACCAGGGAAGCATCGGAAAGAGCAGGGTGGGTGTGAGGGTCTGGGGGGTCCAGCACAGACACCCACCGATGGGGGAGGGAAAGTTGTCATCTTTTCTTTGAGACCTTTAATGAAGATGCACAGCTTCACTGAGCATGCATAGATTTTCCTGATGAAAACAAACATCCCCCAGACCAGTTGCTATCGAGTTGGTGACTTGTGGACGCCCATGTAAGTCAGAGGAACGCTGCTCTGTTGGGTTTTCAGCCTAGGCCTGCCTTCCATGGTGCATCTGGGTGCACTTGAACTGCCAGCATTTCAGTCAACAGTCAGCCCTTAACCGTTTGCTCTGCCAGGGGACTCCTGATGGGCTGTGGGAAGATTTGGGAACATAAGTTACCCCTGGAAGGCCCAGGAGTCTTACTTACATCAATCAAATGCAGTGGTTTGCAGGTAGGAATGAGGAATGGATCCTGACTCAGTTGAAATCTCAAATCTTATTCTCTCTCAATACGTTGAATACCATCCCTCTTCTCAGAAAAAAAGCCTCTGTGGTCACAAAAGTCCTCCCAGCCACCTGTAAATCACCCTTGTTAGGGGAGCCCTTCTAGCACCCAGTGTGTTTCAAGATGTTCCGGTCAGTGCCCTGCTTGAGAAGCAGGAGCAGACGTACATCCCAGACTTCCATTAAGCCTAAGTAAAGGAAGCCTAAGGAGGCGAAGGAAGGAGAATGAGTTGGAGAGCCGTCTTATACTAACATTTAGAATGCTTTCCATGTGCCTGGTGCTGTTCTCAGTGTCTTCTCACGACAACCCTGTAAAGTGGGTGCAGGCACTTTAAATGGCCTCATCGCACAGACCAGGAAAGGGAGGTGCTGAGAAGTTAGGCTTCAGGGTGGAGCTGGTGGTGAGGCGGGTGTGTGTCACGCGTCTAAGCAAGGCCTCCAGCTGAGGCCTGCCTAGGAGACCTGATCCTGCTGGGCCAGCTCTGGGAATAGGTGAGTCTGCGTAGGTCCACGCCTCGGCATTGATAACCTACAGGACTCACTGAAGTTCTCCTGACACTGAGGGGGCAGGGTACTCCGAAAAACCAAGGAGCCACTCGCTGAAGCGGGTTCTTTCAGGGACTCCTTGAGAGTTTGAGGAATAGCTTCCTGGGAAGAAATTTTCAGGCAGAAGGAACAGCACCTACAAAGGCATGAAGGTACCCAGCTGCAGGACCTCAACTGTGGTCTTCACAGGATACGGAGCTCTGAGACAATACTGCTCTGGGGCAGATGCTTGTGGGCAGTTTCCAAGGCTGCTATCAGTTTCTCAAAATCCATGTTTATTTAGAGGACAAGAGCCTTAATTTAAAAACACAGCCATCTTACTTATTTAGATTTTAGCTATGGATGAGAAGAATCATAAATTCAGAAAACCACAGTATCTTTAAATAGCCCAAATGCTTTTTGTTGGATGAAGGGCCCAACTTTTAGTCATGCTACCATTAACACTCATGAAAGCAGCAGTCAAGAAATCAAATGACGTATTGCATTAGGCAGATCTGCTGCACAAGACTTTTTTAAAGTTTTAAAGAGCAAAGATGTCAGCTTGAGAACTAAGGTGTGCCCGACCCAAGCCATGGTATTTTCAATGACCTCATATGCATGCGAAAGCTGGACAGTGAAATATAAGGAAGACCGTGGAAGAATTGATGCTTTTGAGTTATGGTGTTGGAGGAGAATATTGAAAGTACCATGGGCTGTCAAAAGAACCAAGAGATCTGTTTTGGAAGAAGTGCAGCCAGAGTGCTCCTTGGAGGCCAGGATGGCCAAACTTGGTCTTTCATACTTTGTACATATTGACAGGAGGGACCAATCACTAGAGAAGGATATCATGTTTGGTAAGGTGGAGGGTCAGAGAAAAAGAGGAGGATCCCCAGTGAGTCGGATTGGCTAAGTGGCAGCATCAGTGGGTTCAAACGTGGCAACAAAAGTGAGGTTGTTCCAGGATTGGGCAGTGTTTCATTCTGTTGTGCATAAGGTCGCTACGGGTCAGTATTGACTTGATGCCACCTAACAATAAAAACAGCTATGTACTTAGGAGCACTGGTAGCGTAATGGTTATGAATTGGACTGTGAACCTCAAGGTCAGCAGTTCGAAACTACCAGCTGTTCTGTGGGAGAAACATGAGACTTTCTGCTCTAGGGCATACCACCACCACCACCACTATGTACTTACCGGGTCTAACTTTTAGCCTCCTTGGTCACCATTATTTTCTTCTTTTCAAGCTACTAAATTAGGTAAGTGGGCATCAACTTGTGATTTTGCTGTTCATGGGACTTTGGGTAATGTCTAGAGACATTTTTAGGTAAGTGGGCATCAACTTGTGATTTTGCTCTTCAGGGGACTTTGGGTAATGTCTAGAGACATTATTGGTTGTGACAATTTGGAGAGAGGGTTTGTTACTGGCACACAGTGACTGGCACAGAGATGCTGCTAAACAGCCCACAGTGTACAGGAAAGGCCCTCGTAACAGAGACTTTAATAACCTTCAAATGTCAACCTCTTTGAAGTGTTAGAAAGCAAAGACATCACTTGAGAACTCAGTCGTGCCTAACACAAGCTATGCATGGTGTTTTCAATTGCCTCATGTGTGTGCTGGACAATGAATAAGGAAGATGAAGAATCATTGCGTTTAAATTCTGGTGTTGGCAAGAACACTGGATAGACTATGGACTGCCAGAAAACTCAACACATGTGTTTTGGAAGAAGTAGCCAGATGCTCCTTAGAAGCAAGGATGGCGAGACTTCATCTCTTGTACTTTGGACATGTCAGGAAGGACCAATCCCTGGAGAAGGACATCATGCTTGGTAATGGGGAGCGTCAGTGAGAAAAAGGAAGAACCTCGATAAGAGGATTGACATAGCAGCTACAGGAATGGTCTCATACTTAGTGTTTGTGGGGGTGATGCGGGACTGGGCAGTGCTTCATTCTGTTGTGCAGAGAGAGGCTGTGAATCAGAGCAGACTCGATGGCAGCTAAGGTCAACAGAGCCTAGATATACAATCCCTGGAGTAGGTCATGCCAATTTCGTGAGGGTTTTCAATCCCAAATTCACATTTCCCCCCTTTTTTCCCTTTGCAGTGCAATCGTGTTCCTGATGAGAGAAGATACTCTCTGCCCTTAAAGAGCATTTACATGCGGCAGATTGACCAGATGGTTGGTTTGATTTGATCTGCTATCCTCGAGTAGCCTCACTTTAAACCAGTCATTGACGACTGATGCCGAAACCCTGCTGAGATCCAGTCTGAAGTGGAAGGAAAAGGACAGATGTCTGGTCATCCACGATGGTGTAGGGAGTTCTGTCCAACTGCTTACCCACATAACATTAATTCTTGCAAACTTTTAACTCTTCAATTGAATAAAATGCCCTATTTTTCTTAAGGTTGTAATTGGAAATGAGAAGGTACTTGCAGATTGGCTTCTTAGGAAATGCTAATGTTACTAAGCACAATTGAAGGAGCATCATTGGATTAATTTTCACAGCTTCGTACTTTAGAATCCAAGTCTTTTCCCTTTGTCGGCACTTGCCGTATTTACAGTATTGCTACCTCTTTGTTGGGATTGTGAATGGACATTTTCTGGAAAAGGGTCTGAGGTTCCCTTGGTGTCCCTTTCTATTGCATTTGAAAAGGTCACCTTGTCTATGTCTCATTGGGTAATTGGACTTTTCACAGATACCCAACCCGTTTTTAATGGCGTGGGGGGAAAAAATCATCCAGTGATTCATTTGCATCCCACGTAATCTTAACAGTGTTACAGATGATTTGCTTAAGAATATTGGGTCTTATCAGACTTGTCATTGGCAGTCTTGTAAGTCACCACATGATTGGGTTGAGAAGTCAGCCACCTGGATGGCAGTTTGCATTTATTTAAAACACGAACTTTACCTGAGGAACTTCCATAGTTCTGTAACCAGGTGCCTTTTTCGGGAGAGAACAGTACCTAAGATTGTTTCTGAGCCTCTGTCTATCTCGTGTTTACTAACCAAGAATTGTCAATTCTGAACATGTTTGCGTTAGAAGTTGTGTTTTTGTTTCAAGTGTCTAGTGCCAATCAACTAAGTCAGGGAGGGAAAACCAAAATGGTCCAAGAGTTTCTGGCATCTCTGGAACCGTTTTTGCTCTGACACAGGCTTAAGATTAGTGCCTTATGCTAGTTTGGGTTTGGGTCACTGGATGCCCAGGTGGCTGCTGTGGTTTTCATAGTTGTGTTTTCTGTCACCCTGTGGTGGGCCCACAGTCATATGGGGATGGCACCGAGTGTTGGTTAGGAAGGTGGCTGCAGGTGGCTTGACCAGTGTTCACTTTTAACCTGCTGTCTTAAGCAAGCATCGATAAGGACGAAGTTGTGCTCAAATTCCTTCTCTTTCTCTTTGTCTCCTCCCTTAGCCTGAACAGAAGTCTCTGTCTTTGAACTTAACACTCTATGCGCATTACAAAGCAGAGCTGCCTCTGAACCCCCTAGTCGGGCTTCCATGGACCAGGCAAGTGGGACTTCCTTTCCCTGGGAACACCACGGCCTCACTGCGTTCCTCATCTGCCATTGTCTGTCCTCTGCATACGACTTCAGTTCAGTCTGAAAGCCAGGAAAGAGACCTAGCTCAGCCATTGAATTTTCAGTCAAAAGGCAGAAATTTTTATTCCTTTTTGGAAACTGAAGGGTTTCCTCTTTTAGAATTAGATGTGTAATTTAGTTCTTTGAGATCTTTAAAAAGGGATTTTCAATTATGTATGTCACCTCTAACTTTTAAGCATTTACTATGCAAATTGTTTTCAAGTAAAAGAAAAATCAGATGCTTCTGTTTTACCTTTTTTGTTCATTTTAAAAGCATAATTTTGTTTCTCATCTACTGAATAGAAAATTTGAGCTTGCTCTATCTATATCTATAAAATGATGATTATTTTTAATGGTTTTTATTTTGAACCAGAATGTCTCATTTGTGGGCCAGTTGAGGTGATGCGATGTATCTTCTGTGGGCCAGTTGAGGTGATGCGATTCGGAGCCCTTCTGGAAGGGAGCGCCCCCATTTGTTCTTGTGGTGCCCTCCTCACTGGCCTCGCCAGTTTCTGAGGCAGCAGTGGTATGCCATGGCTGTGCCATTCCGCTGCCCATCTGGGTCCTTTACCACTGGCTCTTGATGAGGCCTGGGCATTTCTTCCCTCCAGGAATGGTTCCTGGAATACTGCTCGGTGCCCAATAACGCCATTGGGCCAGGAGTGCCATGGATGCCTTACCCAGGCTCCAGGCTGATAGTAGATGCATCTTGTATCCAGTCCCAAACCCCCTTGTCTTCCTGGCACCGGACCTGTACAGACTGGTGTGATGGGGGCTCAGTTACTAGCTGAGCAGCTGAACTACCTGGTGTCGAGTGGGACACTCCATAGCCAGTGCTCTGTGGAATGCATGCCAGAATGTCGTCTGGGGCCCATCATAAGAAGAAGGTTCTTGAAGTCACGCTCAGAACATCACAATTGTGGTGTCTCCTGCAAGGCCTTTGCTTTCTCTGCTCTGATACGTTGGGAGGAGATGGTGAGGAGGAGACTGTTGGATACAGCACGTGCTTAGTCAGCAGTTTCCCCCCCAACAACCCAAGTGGGCATCGTCTTTTGGAAGAGCCATGAGCTTAAGCCATCTTTGTGTTTGTGTAGCTTTTTCAACACAGTGAAAATGGTTTTGCAAAATCATTGTAGAAAACCGCATACTAGTTAGGTGTAGTGGTGTTTGATTCCTTCAGTGCTAAGCTCTCAATTCTTACAAAACATGCTTAGCTACCTGAGAAGATGATGGGGCTCAAGAACTTGATTCCCCTGAAAGAGCAGGAGACAGACTATTTGCTAGCTCTCTGGTTGGTTGGGCTGGCCTTTGTGAAAAACCAGCTTCCATTTTAAAAACTTCCCTTCAGTTTGTTAGAGTTCTTCTGCCGGAACTTACTCTGTACAACTGAAGTGCTAGGTTCTGTGGAGGCACTGGGTCTTTCTTGTCCTGGATCTGGGATTTGAATAGTTTTCTATGTATTTAAAGACACTCATAGGGTAGTGTTGTCTCTGCAGGTAAATGTCAGAGGAATGTATGGGTGGGGGGGGGGACCAGCTTGCTTGGTGAGTGCAGTTACGCAGTCTGCATCAAGAGCCTCGACTTGATTTCCTTTCCTTCTTTCCTCTTTCTGGAGGGTCCCAGTGGTCTTTCTCTGCATGTTTTCAGCTTTAGTGCTGGTTTAAAGGCAGGGCTGAGTCACCACAGCCACAGTGGCTGAGTAGGGACTTAAAGAAAAAGAAATCCTGTTCTTTTTTTCCTTTCCTGGACGTCCAGCTCCCACAACGTGCCTCTTCCCTGCAGGGCAGGGACCCCTGGGAAACATGAACGGGGTGGGCGGCTGGCTGCGGGTCCCCAGGTCTTGCTGGACTCAGGGTTATCCTCTCCTCTGAACGTGCTTGTGATTCTGCTGAACGTGCCGAGTACCTGTGGAGCCTCCTGACTCATCACCCTGTGCCCTGTCTCTGAGAGACAGAGGGGTAACATTTTAAAAGGCTATTTCAATTTAGTTTTAAGTAGGCAAACACAAGCCGCCTTTTTATTTATTATGCACAAAAAAGGTAAATCTGTTCTTATGAAAACAACCCAGAGTTGGACACTCCGGGGAAACCTGTGGAGATGCACGGCACTCCTCTCTGATGTGCAATTTGCTTTGCAGCTATAGTGATGTTGAATGTTTAATCTGTAAAGAAGAAATGTATTTAAATTAAAAGGGAGCTTTTTGTAAAAGGACCAAATGTTCTTTTATAAATGTATTAAGCAATATCTTGCTCTTTGAACTTTATTAGGGTTTTTATGAGGAATTTTTATTAAAAGATTTTTTTTTTTTGAGTTGTCATTTTGTTTGTCCTTTACATATCCGTAGTATGCACATGAGAGCATGGTGGTACCATATGATAAGCACTGGACTGTGAACCACAAGGTCCGCCAGCTGCTATGCAGAAGAAAGATGAGGTTTTCTGCTCCTGCAGAGATTTAAAAAGCCTCTGAAACTCAGTTCAGGGTCGCTCTGAGTCAGAACCTACTCAAGGCACTCAACCACGACAAATATGCTCATGGCATATAGGGCAAACAAGGGGGAGAAATCCTTAAAGGAAAACATAGGACTGGATCAGTACCAGCTTTCTGTTTGTTAATTTTCACTAAGCCCCAGGCAGTACCTTCCTTGTGGACTTACTTAATGGTCCTTCACACAAGACTGAGAGAACCACATTCCACCATTTTCTTTTTGTTCCTATTCCTACCCTCTTCTCTACAGTGCCCTCACTTATCCCAGGCACTGACCTGTTCTCTATTCTTACTGATTCTCATTGTTGCCCTAGGCAAGGTAGCTCATTTCAGTACACTCTGCTGAGTGAACATGGAAGTAATGCCCCAGGAGCTGATGGGAAGTGTCACACAGGGATGCCCTCCCCCCTGCCTGCTACCTGAGTCTGATGGGAGTCCCATCCTACCCTGAAACGTGTTGGTGCCCCAGCTTTCTGTCTGGCAGTTCTGATGGGCTTTTGACAAACAATGAGTTGTAACAGGATGAAGGGGAGAATCCTGAAGTTGGAAGCACCCTGTTAATAGAAACATGATCTATTACAAGGCACAGGTCCTGCCACGTGGAGGACCTGGATTTGATTCCTGGCCATAGTACTTCATGTATAGCCACAACCCCGCCCATACGCCAGTGGAGACTTGCATGTTGCTATGAAATGGAAAAGTTTTCAGTGGAGCTTTCAAACTAAAACAGATGAGGAAGAAAGGCCTGGTGAGCTGCCTACAAGACTCAGACAATGAAAAACTGTAGAATCCCTTTGTGTTGGGGTTGTCATTAATGAAGCAACTCAGTGGCAGCTAATGATAGTAACAGCTTAAGGCTGCAATAAGGACACTTGTTTGCAGTCTGAGAGCAGAGCTCAGAAGACAACATTAACTTGTTCAACCTCAGGTAGGAATGTGCATGTTCTCTGACTCAAATTTGTTGTATTTGTGCATGTCTGCATATGACTCAGAAGTACCATGCGTATTTGGGGCTACATATAAATTTTTGGGAGTCGGTGCATGCACAAGTAGGGAATTGGTACTGAGGATAGACTGCCCTTAAAATAGCAAGCACCTGGCACATACTGGGTGCCATGTGATTCTTACAGTTACTGTCAAGATTTGATACCCAGGATAAATTCTAGTGTCTTTCAACAATTACCATGTGGTATGGATAAGACTTGCCATGGAGAGGTCTGGATTGGGCCCTAACTGTCCTGACTGTGTGCTTGGCTTGGGTCAAAGTTCTCAGCTTCACACATTTTCCTCATTCATAAAATCAGACATAATACCACTTTAAGTCTCAGGTTT